ATTATTATTATTATTATTATTATTATTATTATTATTATTATTATTATTATTATTATTATTATTATTATTATTATTATTATTATTATTATTATTATTATTATTATTATTATTATTATTATTATTATTATTATTATTATTATTATTATTATTATTATTATTATTATTATTATTATTATTATTATTATTATTATTATTATTATTATTATTATTATTATTATTATTATTATTATTATTATTATTATTATTATTATTATTATTATTATTATTATTATTATTATTATTATTATTATTATTATTATTATTATTATTATTATTATTATTATTATTATTATTATTATTATTATTATTATTATTATTATTATTATTATTATTATTATTATTATTATTATTATTATTATTATTATTATTATTATTATTATTATTATTATTATTATTATTATTATTATTATTATTATTATTATTATTATTATTATTATTATTATTATTATTATTATTATTATTATTATTATTATTATTATTATTATTATTATTATTATTATTATTATTATTATTATTATTATTATTATTATTATTATTATTATTATTATTATTATTATTATTATTATTATTATTATTATTATTATTATTATTATTATTATTATTATTATTATTATTATTATTATTATTATTATTATTATTATTATTATTATTATTATTATTATTATTATTATTATTATTATTATTATTATTATTATTATTATTATTATTATTATTATTATTATTATTATTATTATTATTATTATTATTATTATTATTATTATTATTATTATTATTATTATTATTATTATTATTATTATTATTATTATTATTATTATTATTATTATTATTATTATTATTATTATTATTATTATTATTATTATTATTATTATTATTATTATTATTATTATTATTATTATTATTATTATTATTATTATTATTATTATTATTATTATTATTATTATTATTATTATTATTATTATTATTATTATTATTATTATTATTATTATTATTATTATTATTATTATTATTATTATTATTATTATTATTATTATTATTATTATTATTATTATTATTATTATTATTATTATTATTATTATTATTATTATTATTATTATTATTATTATTATTATTATTATTATTATTATTATTATTATTATTATTATTATTATTATTATTATTATTATTATTATTATTATTATTATTATTATTATTATTATTATTATTATTATTATTATTATTATTATTATTATTATTATTATTATTATTATTATTATTATTATTATTATTATTATTATTATTATTATTATTATTATTATTATTATTATTATTATTATTATTATTATTATTATTATTATTATTATTATTATTATTATTATTATTATTATTATTATTATTATTATTATTATTATTATTATTATTATTATTATTATTATTATTATTATTATTATTATTATTATTATTATTATTATTATTATTATTATTATTATTATTATTATTATTATTATTATTATTATTATTATTATTATTATTATTATTATTATTATTATTATTATTATTATTATTATTATTATTATTATTATTATTATTATTATTATTATTATTATTATTATTATTATTATTATTATTATTATTATTATTATTATTATTATTATTATTATTATTATTATTATTATTATTATTATTATTATTATTATTATTATTATTATTATTATTATTATTATTATTATTATTATTATTATTATTATTATTATTATTATTATTATTATTATTATTATTATTATTATTATTATTATTATTATTATTATTATTATTATTATTATTATTATTATTATTATTATTATTATTATTATTATTATTATTATTATTATTATTATTATTATTATTATTATTATTATTATTATTATTATTATTATTATTATTATTATTATTATTATTAATATATTATTATTATT